TGGGTACCTCTCTTTTGCCAAGAAAATATACATTTAATCTTATAAACAGTTTTTTTTAAGTGACTTTGGAGCTTTGAATAAATGCAGGGGAATTTTTTTTTCAATTTCATGTGTGCACTAGGAATTCTTTTGGAGAGAATAAAATATAAGTCAGACAGTAAATAAAGGAAATAGGCTTTAAAATTCAAATAACAAAGATTAATGACAAAAGTGACACTGAAATAGGTGTCTTTGTGTTGGCTAATTCATCAAGGGAAAAATTTGAAGTCACAAGTCATGGTATAATCATTAGAGAAGCTGCCTCAATGTCAGTTCTGAGATGTCAATTCTGTATGCATGTGTTGTTTCCAGATGTGACTCTACTAATGTAAGCATACAGTTATTCATATTATTCTTAGATAGAGCTACTGGTGACTTTTCTTCTAATTTATATGTATAGAATTTAAATGTAACTTGAAAACCCTATTACTGGTTACATAGATAGTCTGGTTTTAGATTAGTGAGCACAGCTGCTATCTGAAGAGATTGTCAGTGCTCACAGTTCTACAGCCTTGCTTCACTGTTAGTCTTCTTAAAAAAAAACTACTGTTGGTGTCTGTTGTACTCTTTTACAACTGTTGAGAACCTACTATATTTTGTTCCCTTTTCTAAGCACTTTCCTTACTGTGTGAGCTATCCATATCATTTTTTTACATATGAGGAAACTGAAGCTGTAAGTATAGGAAACACTTTGGCCAGGTTAGAACTCATACCTGCGGGGACAGATGACATAGTTGAAAGGAGGATTTTAGAAACAAAATTGCACCTAATTCTCTTCTGTAATTAACATTCTTTTAAAATATTCTAGATTCTCATGCAAATTGAGTTGATTTTCTCATTTTTACAACATAATAAATACAATTACAATAGATAAAAGAGGCTGCAGATACAATTCATAAGTGTGCACAAAACTTTTTCCTTATCTGGAGCACATGTCTCTATTTGTGACCCCTGTAGCCAGCTTCAGTTGTTTGAAAGCAATTTTCATAGTTTTCCAGTCTCCTCAGTAGATGAAGTCCCTGATATTTTCCAAAGGGTAATGCTAGGGAAGTTGTCCTTTTCGGGAGTGGAGCTCAAAATTAGCAAGAAAGATATGGTGTGGTATCTGAAAAAGTTACCTGACAGAAAGAAATAAATAGTTCTTTCAAGGATATGTATATCTCTGTGCCCTGTTGAAATGCCACGTTTCTTTTTTTCAAAGTTGTATTGATAAGCAGTTAACTTTATCTATGATTTTGTTGTGGGGGGTGTTCTGCCCTCAATTCTGCAGGTGTGTGTGGGAATTAAGGCCTATATTTAAAATTTTATGTCTAGAATTAGTAGAGAATTAGAGACTCTATATTTTTATGTAAGGTGAGTCCAATCATTTTTATTGATGTATAGTTTATGTGCACTATTATGTTACTTTCAGGTTTACAACATAGTGATTTGATATTTAAATACACTACAAAATGATCAGCATGAAAACTCTAGTAACCATCTGTCACCATATAAACTTATTACAGTATTATTGACTGTATTCCTTGTGCTGCATGTTACATCGCTGTTACATTTATTTTATAAAATTTGTATCTCTTAACCTCTTTACCTGTTATACCCTCCCCTCAGCCCTGCCACACACAACCCCCTGGCAACTGCCAGTTTGTTCTCTGTATCTGTAAGTCTTTTTCTGTTTTGTTGTTTATTTATTTGTTTTGTTTTTAGGATTCCACATCTAGTATTTGTCTTTCTCTGTCTGACTTATTTCATAAAACATAATACCTTCTAGGACCACCCAGGTTGTCTCAAAGGCAAGACTTCATTCTTTTTTATAGCTGAATAATATCCCATTGTGTGCGTGTGTGTGTGTATCACAGCTTTTTACCCATTCATCTATTGATAGATGCTTAAGTTGCTTCTATGTCATGACTACTGTAAATAATGCTGCAATGAACATAGCGATGTATATATCTTTTCAAATTAGTGTTTTTGCTTGCTTCCAGAAGTGGAAATCCTGGACCATATGATAGTTCTGTTTTTAATTTTTTGAGGGACCTGCATGCTATTTTCCATAATGGTTGCAACAATTTACATTCCCACCAATAGTGTATCAGGGTTCCTGTTTCTCCACATTCTCACCAACACCTATTATTTTTTATGTTTTTGGCAATAGCCATTCTGACATGTGTGAGGTGATATTGTGGCTTTGGTTTGCATTTCCCTGATGATTAATGATATTGAGTACCTTTTCATGTGTCTATTGAGCATCAATATGTCTTCTTTGGAGAAATGTCCATTCAGATCCTATGCCCATTTTTTAAATCACATTGTTTGGGGTTTGTTGTTGTTGTTCTTGCTGTTGCTGTTATTGAGTTGTATGAGTTCTTTATATATTTTGGATATTAAGCTCTTATCAATTATATCATTTGCAAATATCTTCTCCTATTTGGGAGATTGCCCTTCATTTGTTGATACTTTCCTTTGTAGTGCAAGCATTTTTTAGTCTGATGTGGTCTCATTTGTTTATTTTTGCTTTTGTTGCCCTTGCCTGAGGAGACAGATCAAAAAAAAATGTTGCTAAGACTGATGTCAAAGGGCGTACTGCCTGTGTTTTCTTCTGGTAGTTTTATGGTTTCAGGTCTTACATTTACATCTTTAATCCATTTTGAATTTATTTTTGTCTATTGTGTAAGATATTAGTCTAGTTTGATTCTTTTACATGTAGCTGTCCAGTTTTCCCAAAAACATTTATTAAAGAGACTGACTTTTTCACATTTATATTCTTGTCTCTTTTGTCATAAATTAATTGACCATATTAGCATGGGTTTGTTTCTGGGCTCTCCATTCTGTTCTATTGATCTACATGTTTGTTTTTTATATCAATACCATACTGTTTTATTTACTGTAGGTTTGTAGTGTAGTTTTATTTCAGGGAATGTGATATCTCCAGCTTTGTTCTTTTTTTCTCAAAATTACTTTGGCTATTCGAGGCCTTTTGTGGTTCCATATACTTTTTAGAATTATTTGTTCTGGTTCTGTGAAAAATGCCATTGATGTGTTGATAGTGATTGCACTGAGTCTGTAGATTGCTTTGTACAGTATGGGCATTTTAACAATATTAATTCTTCCCATCCATGAGCAAGGTATATCTTTCCATTTGTCTATGTTGTCTTCAATTTCTTTCATCAATGTCTTATAGTTTTCAGAGTACAGATCTTTCACTGCCTTGGTTAAATTTATTCCTAGGTATTTTATTCTTTTTGATGCAATTGTAAATGGGATTATTTTGTTAATTTCTCTTTCTGATAGATGGTTTTTAGTGTATAGAAACACTGCATATTTCTTTATATTAATTTTTTATCCTGCAACTTCACTGAATTCATTTATTAGTTCTAACAGACTTTTTGGTGGAGTCTTTAGAATTCTTTGTATGTAGTATCATGTCATGTCCAAGAAGCTTTACTTCTTCCTTTCCAATTTGGATTCATCCTATTTCTTTTTCTCGTATAATTTCTGTGGCTGGAACTTCCAATACTATGTTGAATAAAAGTGGTGAGAGTGGGCATCCTTGTCTTTTTCCTCACAGTTGAGTATGATATTGGCCATAGTAGTATATATGGCCTTTATTACATTGAGTTATGTTCCTTCTATACTCACATCCTGGAGAGTTTTTATCATAAACAGATGTTAAACTTTGTCAAAAGCTTTTCCTGCATCTATTGAGATGATCATATGATTTTTATTTTTCAGTTTGTTAATGTGGTATATCACATTGATTAATTTGTGGATAATGAAAAATCCTTGCATCCCTGTGATAAATCCCACTGGCTCATGGTGTTTGAACCTTTTAATTCATTGTTGAATTTGTTGTACTAATATTTTGTTGAAGATTTTTGCATTTATGTTTATCAGTGATGTTGGCCTGTAATTTTCTTTTTTTACATTGTCTCTGTCTGGTTTTATCAGGGTAATGCTGGCCTCATAGATGAGTTTGGAAACAGTCCTTTCTCTACAATTTTTGGAATACTTTGAGAAGGAGAGGTGGTAACTCTTTTTAAAATGTTTGTTGGAATTTACCTGTGAAGCCAGCTGGTCTTGGACATTTGTTTTTTGGGAGGACTTCAACTACTGATTTAATTTTATTACTAGCAATTGGTCTGATCATATATTTTATTTATTCCTGTTTTATTCTTGGGAGATTGTGTTACTAAGAATTTATCCATTTCTTTTAGGTTTCCATTTTATTGGCATATAATTATTTGTAGTAATTTCTTATGATCTTTTGTATTTCTGTGCTGTCAGTTGTAACATCTCCTCTTTCATTTCTGATTTTATTTATTTAGGCCCTCTCTCTCTTTTGCTTGATGAGTCTGGCTAAAGTTTTACCAATTTTGTATATCTTTTCAAAGAACCAGCTCTTAGTTTCATTGATTTTTTTTCTATTGTTTTTTAGTCTGTATTTGATTTATTTCTGCTCTAATCTTTATTATTTCTTTCTTTCTACTAACTCTGGGTTTTATTGGTTCTTCTTTTTGTTTCTTTGTTTGTTCTTTTAGGTTTGATTATTTACTTGAAATTGTTCTTGTTTCCTGAGGTAGGATTGTATTGCTATAAACTTCCTTCTTAGAACTGCTTTGCTGCAGTCCCATAGATTTTGTATCATTGTGTTTACATTTTTACTTGTCTTCAGATTTTTTTTTAGTTTTCTCTTTGATTTCTTCAGTGACCCATTGGTTGTTTAGTAGCATGCTGTTTAGGCTCCATGTATTTGCTTTTTTTAAGGCTTTTTTTTCTTGCAGTTGATTTTACAGTCTCATATTTTGATCTGAAAAAATCGTTGATGTAATTTCCAGGGCCTGATCATTTTAAGCAGAAAATATAATGTCAGACAGCCTGTAGTTCCTTAGGAAGAAAACACTGTATTCTAAATGCTTTTCCAGAATTTTACTAAGCATGATTATGGTATGTGTGTTTATTTGTAGGAACTGGTAACATCTGAACATAACAAACGAAACAAGCAAACTCTTGCACCATTACTACCACCACATTTTACACAAGGAATGTCACTGTACATGGTTTCCAAGCAGGCTAAAAAGAAAAAGAGCTGATTAGACCTCAGACTGCCTACTGAACGTGATGACGGCCACCGCTGCAGTGGAAACATCAAAAATGAAGAAGAGTGCCTCCAAGGAAGAGAAGCAGCAGCCTAAGCAAGACAGCACAGAACAGGGTAATGCTGATTCTGAAGAGTGGTTGAGCTCTGAGAGTGACCCTGAACAGATGATCCTTAAAAGTAGCAGCAATGACAACAGTTGCCAACTTGGAAATGTTCAGTTGAAGAAGAAGGAGATCCCCTCTAAGCCACACCGCCAGCTATGTAGATCACCCTGCCTAGATCATCCAAGCTTCTCCCAGAGCAGCATTCTACAGGATGGGAAGCTTGACTTGGAAAAAGAATACCAAGCCAAGATGGATTTTGCTTTAAAGCTGGGCTATGCAGAGGAACAGATTCAATCAGTACTGAACAAGCTGGGTCCAGAATCACTTATTAATGATGTATTGGCAGAGCTTGTCAGACTTGGGAACAAAGGTGATTTGGAAGGTCAGGTCAACTTGAGTCTGTTAGTGCCTCGGGGGCCCAGCTGCAGAGAGATTGCAAGCCCTGAACTGTCTCTTGAAGATGAAATAGACAACAGTGACAATTTAAGGCCAGTTGTCATAGATGGAAGTAATGTGGCAATGAGGTAAGACTGATATATTTTCTTTCTGTTTCTTTAAAACTGCCCTGAGCTCATAGAAATTGTCTTCCTTTACAAAGGGCTAATAGAGCCTCTTGGTTGTTGTCTGTGGCTTATGCTCCTATAGGTGGACAAAGGCTAAAATGATCATGCCTGGCTTTTTCTCTCTCCTTTGAAATTGTTGCCATCTTGTTTTCAGATGTTCTGAAAGTACAGTCAAATACAAATCAGTGATGCTTTAGAGGAGATGTAACCATTTAGCATTTGTTCCTTCTGTGGTCCCTTCTCCCACCTCCACTTGACTAAACGGATCATCCTGAAAATCCTGCTTTTATAATGTTACATGTGGACTTACTTGGGAATTTGCAGTAATTCCCAATTGACATTCTACCAAATTTGGACCCCTTTGCCTGACTTTGTGATCTGACCTTTCTCTCCTCCCATTGAATTGCATCTCTCACACTTCACTGCATTTATATCAATCTCTTTAACCATCTCCATGTAAATTATGATTATTTATACCCCCAATGCATGTGTTCATGACATTTCCCAGCCTAGACGTGACCACCTTCTTATCTTCATGCCCTTCAAGGTATACTATCTCCACAAGCACCCTGACTTTTTTGATCCCAATCATTGTCTCTGAGCTGTAGTACCCATGGTAGGCTGAATAATATATAATAATAATAAGACATCCAAATCCTAATCCCTGGAATCTGAGACTATGTTATCTTACATGGTAAAAGGGACTTCAAAGATATGATTAAGCTAAGGATCTTGAGATAGGAGAAATTATCCTATATTATTAAGATGGGCTCAATGTAATCACAAGGGTTCATATAAGAGAGAAGGAGGCAGCGGGATCAAAATGCAATGTGGTGACAGAAACAAGAGATTGGAGTGATGTAAGAAAGGGGATATGAGCCAAGGTATGTGGGCAACCTCCAGAAACTGAAAAGGGCAAGGAAATAGATTCTTCCCTGAAGACTGGAAAAAGAACAGAGCCTTGCCAACACCTTGATTTTAGACTTCTGACATCCTGAACTATAAGAGAACAAACTGGTGTTATTTTAAGCCACTAAATATGTCATAATTTGTTATAGCAGCAATAGGAAAGTGATACAGAACCAAGAGTGCCTTCATACTTTATTCAACACTGTATCATATAATTTTTGTTTGTTTTCATATGATTCCATTTATTTATTTTTTATTTATTTATTTTTTAACATTTTTACTGAGTTTTAGTCATTTTACAGTGTTGTGTCAAATTCCAGCATAGAGCACAATTTTTCAATTATACATGAACTTACATATATTCATTGTTATATTTTTTCACTGTGAGCTACCAAAAGATCTTGTATATATTTCCCTGTGCTGTACAGTGTGTCATATAATTTTTTATCTCATGCCATATAACCTTAAGAATGAGTTGTCACCCAACTTCAGTTGAAAAATTGCCAGTGATCAGGAGCCTACTTCTTCTTAAGTCCACCATTGCTTGATGAACTCACTGGAATTCTTAGACTGTAAACAATCAGAACAAAGTAAAAAGCCTTAGACTCACAAGTTTTTAATTTGATTATCCCATTGTCTTTGAGGGCAAGGACCTTATTTTATGCCTCCCTTGTTTCCTCACAGAACATAGCACAGTATTTGATGCTCCCACATCCCTGGGGATAAGGCAAGTCTTATGAACCATACTATTGCTGTATGCAGGAGTTGCTTAGCAGACAATCTGGAGGTACATTTCAATATATAGTTCTATTTAGCCTTTTTTGGAGGTTTTTTTTTTTAATGGAAGTACTAGGGATTGAATCTAGGAACTTGCGCATTCTAAGCATGCACTCTACCACTGAGCTAAACCCCAACCCCTGTTAGTTCTATTTAATCTTCATAACAACTTTATTTTACAGATGAGAAAACTAGAGCTCAGCAAGGTTAAATGAATTCCCTGAGGTTATTTGCTATAGTTAATATATAAATAAAATATATAAATATAACAAAGTGAGGACTTGACTTAAATCCTCTGGCTTCAAATGAATGAAATGAAGCTAATATTTATAAATATCTATTCTCTGCCAGGTACTTTGAATATATGATTTAATCCTCACTAAAAACACTACAAAAATGGAGTAATTATGTTCATTTTTACAGATGAGCAAACTCAAATTCAGAGGTTAATTGTCCAAGTAATAAATGGCAAAGTTTATATTAAAACCAGAATGTGACTCCAATGCTCCTGCAATATCATGCAGTAGTATGTGGCCATTAGTGTTTCTAAGAATATTTGACATAGTTTCTAGTAGCAGGGTATAAATGTATAGAAATCTTTTTTCAAATGTTTTATTTTTATTTTTTATTAAAGTTTTGTTGATTTACAGTACTATATTAGTTTCAAGCACACAACATTTTGATTGAATATTTTATAGATTATACTACATTTAAAGTTATTCTAAATTATTGACTGTATTCCCAGTGCTGTACAATATATTCTTATATCTTATTTATTTTATAGATAGTACTTTGTACCTCTTAATCTCCTATCCTTATTTTGCTCCTCCCCCTCCCTCTTTCCACTAGTAACCACTACTTCGTTCTCTATATCTGTGAGACTGTTTCTGCTGTGTTACATGCATTCGTTTATTTTATTTTTTAGATTTCATATATAAATTATAGCATACAGTATTTGCCTTTCTCTGTCATACTTATTTCACTAAGCATAATACTCTCCAGATCCACGTTGTTACAAATGGCAAAATTTAATTATTTTTTATGGCTGAGTAATATTGCATTGTACATATACCACAGCTTCTTTATCCAATTATCTGTTGATGGACATCAAATTTGCTTCCATATCTTGGCTATTGTGAATAATGTTGCTTCTGAATATTGGGGTGCATATTTTTTTTAATTAGTGCTTTTGTTTTCTTCAGATATATACCCAGAAGTGGACTAGGTGGATCATATGGTAGTTCTATTTTTAGTTTTTTGAAGAACCCCCTACTATTTTTATAATAGCTGCACCAGTTTACATTCCCACCAACAATACACTAGGGTTCCCTTTTCTCCACATCCTCACCAATATTTGTTATTTTTTGTGGTCTTTTTAACAACAGCCATTCTGACAGTTGTGAGGTGTTGTCTCACTGTGGTTTTGATTTGCATTTCCCTGATGATTAGCAATGTTGAGTATCTTTTCATGTGACTGTTGGCCATCTGTATGTCTTCCTTGGAGAAATATCATTCAGGTGCTCTGTCCATTTTTTAAGCAGGCTGTTTTTTTATATTGAGTTATATGAGCTGTTTATATATTATGGACATTAACTCCTTATCAGTCATATAATTAGCAAATATTTTCTCCCATTCAGTATGCTGTCTTTCCATTTTGTTGAAGTTTTCCTTTTTTGTGTGATGGCTTTTAAGTCTAATTAGGTGTCATTTATTTATTTTTTGTTTTTATTTCCTTTACTTTAGGAGACAGATCCAAAAAAAAAATTGTTGCAGTTAGGGTCAAAGGGAGTTCTTTTTGCTTGTATTTTCTTCTAGCAATTTTATGGTTTCCAGTCTTGCATTTAGGTCTTTAATTCATTTTGAGTTTATTTTTGTATATGGTGGAAGAAAATGTTCTAATTTTATTCTTTTGCACATAGCTGTCCAGTTTTCCCAACATCATGAACTGAAGAGACTGTCTTTTCTCTGTTGTATATATTTTTTATTATTATTGAAGTATAGTTGATTTAAAATGTGTTAGTTTCTGGTGTACAGCACAGTGATTCAGTGATACAAATATATTATTTTTATTATAGTTTTTTGCAAGATATTGAATATAGTTACCTGTACTATACAGCAAGACCTTGTTGTTTATCTATTTTATATATAGTAGTTAGTATCTGTCCATTGAATATTTTTGCCTCCTTTGTCATAGATTAATTGACCATAAGTGTGTAAGGTTTCTTTCTGGGCTCTCTATTCTGTTCCAATTATCTATGTCTGTTTGTGAACTGGTACCATATATTTTTTTTGAAGGGGAAGGTAGTTATGTTTGTTTGTTTGTTTGTTTGTTTTATTTTTAGAGGAGACACTGGGATTTAACTCAGGACCTCATGCATGCTAAGCATGCACTCCACCACTTGAGCTATACCCTCCCCCTCATTACCATACTGTTTTTTTAATCACTGTAGCTTTGTAGTATAGTCTGAGTTCAGAAAGCATGATTCTTCCAGCTCTGTTTTTATTTCTCAAGATTGTTTTGGCTATTTGGGGTCTTTTGTGCTTCCATACAAATTTTAAAATTATTTGCTCTAGTTATGTGAAAAATGCCCTTTGTATTTTTGATAGAAATTGCATTGTATCTGTAGATTGCCTTGGGTAGCATGGTCATTTTAACAATATTAATTCTTCCAATCTATTAATATGAGATATCTTTCCATTTATTTGTATCATCTTCAGTTTCTTGCATCATTGACTTACAGTTTTCAGAGTATAGGTCATTCCTCCCCTTGGTTAAGTTTACTCCTATGTATTTTATTCTTTTTAAAGCAATTTTAAATGATATTTTTTCCTGTTTTCTCTTTCTTGATTATTAGCGTATAGAAAAGCAACATATTTCTGTATATTAATCTTGTACTTTACTGAATTCTTTTATTAATTCTGTTAGCTTTGGTGGAGTCTTTAGAGTTTTGTACATATAATATCTTTTGATTGGAGCATTAATCCATTGACATTTAAAGTGATTACTGATAAGTATGTACTTATTGTCATTTTGTTACTTGTTTTCTGATTGTGTACTTCCCTGTTCCTTTCATTTTCTTGTGGTTTGATGATTTTCTTTAGTGATATGCTTGTGTTCTTTTCTCTCTAGTTTTTGTATATCTATTATAGGCTTTTTATTTGTAGTTACCATGGGGTCTGTATATGTTGACCTATAACTGTCTATTTGTTTTAAACTGGTAGTCATTTAAGTTTTAACACATTCTAAAAAATCTACATTTTATATTCTCCTCCAC